AACACTCAGGAGCCTGGACTCCAGGAATGGGAGCTGCTCCAGAATGCCGCCACTCTTCTCTGCCCAACGTGTCCACGTGCTTGAAGTCAGATAACAGCCACCCCGAGTTATGCTGCTGTGGTTGTTAGCTGCTGTCAAGTCAGCCCCCAACTCATCGTGACCCCCGTACTCAACAGAACAAAACGCTGCCGGGTTCTGCGTCATCCCCATGATTGGCTGTGGACCACACCATTGTGATCCATAGGGTTTTCAATGACTGATTTTCAGAAGTATATTGCCAGGCCTTTCCTCCTAGTCCACTTAGTCTGTAAGATCCACTGAAACCTGTTCAGGTCATACCAACACACAAATCTCCAATGACACAGGGTGGTTGGTGGCTGCGCATGAAGTGCATTGGCTGGGAATAGAACCTGGGTCTCCCTTTTACCTAACTCTGCACCTAAGCCCCCAGCAGAGGACTTGGGGAGAATCCCATGATGCTCCATCTGGGGTGGAGGCTAAATGCTCCCTCCCAGGAAAACATCCCTCCTCCCCAGCACCAGGTACCTTTCAATCCTTCTCTGTGGACCGACGTTCTCAGGCGCGCCACCTGGGAGCATGCCAGAAATGCAGAAGCCCACCCCACCCCGACCACTGCACTGGAATCCACCTTTTCACCCGATCCCCAGGTCTGGTGGGCACAGACAAGCGGGCAGTGCATGCAGCAGGGCGCTCTGCCGAGCAGGTGAGAACTGCACACAGGTGTGTGTGCTCCTGGAGAGGACCAGGGAGCCCAGAGCCAGGGACCTTGGCGGGGAGGGGCAGCTGGCAGGGCACAGAGTTCCGGGTGCCCCCACCCCGAGCAGCGTGCATCCCCAACAGAACTAGGATGGGGAGCTGAGGAGAGCTGCAGGTGCCCCATGCGGGGTGGGGAGCACATGGAGACTCACTCCTCCTTGGTGACTCGGCCTGTGGCTGCACCATGGAGACCACGCTGAGCTCACCGCCCCAAGTCCCTGCAATGGACCAAGGGAGCTTGGCAGTGAGCTGAACCCTTGGGGGCTGGTTCTGCACCATCCCCTTCTCTGGCTACCCTGGCTGGTCTGACCTCCTGGCTGCAACAAAGACATGGGGAGGGGTTCAGAAGGCTGATTTCAGAGAGCTGGAACTGGAGGGAGGGTGGGGACACGGGAGGGGGGCAAGCTTGGGAGTCGCTGGGGGAGAGGAGAGGGAGGTTGAGGATTGAAATGCCTAGTCCCAGCGTAGTAGACAGGTTAACACTCTCACCCTCTGGAGTCTCTGGGTCATGCAGACAGTTAACAGGCTTGGCTGCGAGTCCACCCAGAGGCACTGTGAGAAGAAAGGCCTGGTGATCAACTTCCAAAACATCAGCCATTGAAAACCCTATGGAGCACAGTTCTAGTCTGAAGACACGGGTGAGCACAAGTCAGAGTTGACCTGACAGCAGCTTTTTTGCTTTGTTTTGTTTTTGCATCGACAAGGAAGATAATCTTATTATGTTATTCAGAGCAGGGAAAGCCCCGTGCTTAAGGGTGTGGATTTAAATTCCGGCACAACCACAAACCAGTGTGGCTTTGGGAAGTGGTAACTCCTCTGAGTCCTCAGTTTCCTCACCTATGAAATGGGTATAATAACCGACTCTCCCTCCCGGGGCTGTGTGAGGATGAAGGAAGCTTAGAACAGAGTCTGGAACATAATCAGTGCTCAGTAAAGGCTTACTAACATCATCAAGGAGCCCTGGTTGTGCAGTGGTTAAAGTGGTTGGCTGCTAACCAAAAGGTGGACACGGTTTGAACCCAGCAGCCACTCTGAGGGAGAAAGATGTGGCAGTTGGCTTCCGTAAACATTGCAGCCTTGGAAAAACTATGGGGGCAGCTCTGCTCTGTCCTGTAGGGTCGCTGTGCGTCAGAATCAACTCAACAGCAGTGGTTTTGCTTTTTGGGTTAATATCATCATCACTGTCAGAGCAGGGAGTGAAGAGCAAGCTCCAGGCACTCTCCTCCCTTCTGCTTCAGCTGGGCTAAATCCCGGCGGTGGAAACAAGGGCCTGAGCTTGGACTCCCACGCTCTTGAGGCTTCCAAGAGGCTCACCTGTTCAGACACGGGGCCACCACACCTCTTCAAGCAGAAGGCCTGCTGTAGATCCCCTGCCCCTGCAGCATGCCCCCACCCCGCCCCTGCAGCACAGCCCCTACCCCTGCAGTGTAGCAGACCTGCTCCCTGAGAAAAAGGAGCAAGGACCAGCTGCCCAGCTGTGCAGAGCAGGAACATCTGGCTCTCGGGCTCCAGGGAAGCCCCGGGGGTGCAGGGATTAGCCGTCTTGGGTCAGCCCCAGCGTCTCTCCCCTCGTGGGAGTCACTTTCTGTCAAGTCCTCTTGATCTCCTGGAATCCAGATGAAATTCCAATAATGCGCCTGCTGGAGGCCTTCCACGCGATCCTCGGGCTCTGCTTGAAGTGGGCCCCAGACAGCAGAACGAGGCAGAAGGACATGGGGAGGCTACCCTGGGAGCTGCAGACAAAAGGGGGGCTGAGAGGCAGGTGGAGCTGGCATCCCTGGCGCTCGGGGGCCTGTCTGGGAGCGAAGGGCCAAGGGACTGGAGGCTGGTGGGGCTTTGGAGGCTGGTGGGGCTTCAGAAGCTGATGGCGCTTCAGAGGCTGGTGCTGGCTTCAGAGGCTGGTGGAGCTTCAGAACCCTGGGCCCTTGGCAGGACAATTTGGGGCCTGGGTCCAGTAGCTGATCTTGCTCTGTCCCGGATGGCTCAAGCTCTGGATCCAGTTGAGGTGAGACCAGTACCAGTTGTTCCCCAAGGAGCCGGAGACACCTGCACCACCTGTCCCTCGGCTAACCGCAGTGACTCACACCCGCTCCCCTCCTTGCCTGCCCTGATCCACCCAGGGATGGCTCTCAGGCCAAACCGTGTTGGGAGCCCCAGAGACAGCAGATCGACACAGGCAGGAAGGCGAGGCGCTGCTGGGAGCCGGATGAAACCTAGACAAGAGCCTGCAGGCATGGAGCTCCCTTCACACCAAGCCAGCAGGAAGTCGGTCGGCACCTCAGCGCGTCAGTCTGCCTTGTCTTCCTACGACCCATGCCTGTGCACTTACCGAGACACTTCCCTCGCCCCTCCTTTGCTGCTCCTTCTTGTCACTCAAATACGTCCAACTCAGGAAGGCCACCCAATCGAAAATGCCGCCAACACTCGTCCACCAGTCAGTATGCTTAGCGTGTCTATCTGCTTCCTTGTTTCCTGTCTGTCTCCCTTACCCCTCAACAGGAATTTTAGACAAAGTCCCTGCTGTCATGGGCCTGGCTGTGGATCACCTTGTACTTGGGCTCACACAGACATGTAAATAAACCTGGGGACCAGGGCGCAGTATGGCAGGGTGAATTGGGCAAGAGGTGACAGCCATCCTTGTCTGTCCCCCATTGCCGTGTGCAATGTCGCAAAGCCTTTCCAAGTCCTATCTACTCCCCGAGGGTCAGCTGTCCGCTCTGCAGGGCAACAGTAATGTGTGGGCTTTGAGATACCACGTGTCGCCCATCAACTCAACAAAGATCAAAAAAGTCTAACAACATGTTACCATGGGTGAGCACATGGCTGGTGGGAGCATAAGCTGAAACAGCCTTCAAGGAAATCTACCCAAGTTACAACTGGATGTGTCCCTTGACACCACAGCTGTGGTTCATGGAAGAACTCTCACCTTCCAATCAATAGACCTAGATCTGATTCCCAGCCAATTGCACCTCATCGGCAGCCACCACCCATCCGTCTGTGGAGGCTTAGCTGTTGCTGTGATGCAGGTTTCAGCGGAGCTTACTGACTAAGATGGACTAGGAAAACAGGACTGGCAATCTACTTCTGAAAAATCAGTCATTGAAAACCCTATGGAACACAGTTCTACTCTGACACACATGGGGTCGCCATGAGTCAGAATCAACTTGACGGCAACTGGTTAATGGCTGCCAGGGGAGATGGCAAGTCTAAAACCCCAGCCACTGCGTAATACAGACTTGGTCATTTCCACCTTGGGGGTGTAGGATGCACTTGTGAGATGGACTATTCCTTTCTCTTGGCCTTCTCAGCTCTCACAAGACCTTAAAGTAGAAGGTGTCAATCAATGTAAGCATGGAAAAGCTGGACGATGAATAAGGAAGACCAAAGAAGAATGGATGCCTTTGAATTATGGTGCTGGTGAAGAAGATTGAATATACCATGGACTGCCAGAAGAAGGAACAAATCTGTCTTGAAGGGACAACCAGAATGCTCCTTAGAAGCCAGGATGGTGAGACTTCATCTTATGTACTTTGGACATGTTATCTAGAGGGAACAGTCCCTGGAGAAGGACATCATACTTGGTGAAGTAGATGGTCAGCGAAAAAGAGGAAGATCCTCAATGAGATGGACTGACACAGTGGCTTCAACAATGGGACGGTGCAGTGTTCCGTTGTGTTGTACGTAGGGTCGCTATGAGTAGGAACCGACTCAATGACACCTAACATCTTAGCAAGAAATGTCAGTCTTTTTAACACAAGCTTTCAGTTCTTGACCTAGTGATTCTTGGAAGGCCGAGAGTTATCTGCTTGGTTTTATTTTTTGTTTGTTAATTTGGGGATGTTTTCCATAACATTTTATTAAACATGGCTACTGTGTCTGGTTGCCTGATATGATGTGCTTGGTATCAGAGTGATGAATGGGAGAGATGCTGACCTGCAAACGTGTTCTTGCTCTTCTCTGTCTCACTCTTACCATGCCCTAGAGCACCGACCAGACCCAGATGGTCCACAAATACGCGCCCATTAACAGTGACAGTGTTAGGGAACAACAGCGTAGACCATACACCTTCATCAAGAAGATATTGGATGCAGGGCCTGGGACGTGGCTGGAGCTCCATGGTGGTCACTGCGGTGGTCCCCTGCCCGGCGGGTCTGGGCCCCCTCTGGCCGCTGTCCCCCTCCTTCCCTGGAGCTGAGGGAGGGTCACACCCATGCAGCACCCACCTGCCCGAGTGCTCCTGTACCACCTGGTAAACGCTGATCCGGAACGTCTCGTTATCAAAGCGCTCCCGGACATAGTCTTTGTAGATTCGGAATTCAGCCGCGGTCACAGCTTCTCCGTCTGGGATCTTGGAGAGATCAAACCGGAACTCGCGGTGGTGGTATCGTGGCTGGAAGAACTCCTTGTCGTGTTCCACTGGGAAGGGAGAAAACACACCAACATCAGAAGCCTGCTGGTAACTGCGTTTCACTTGCCTGGCTGAAGGGCCAAGCACCCCGCCAGAGCAAGATGGAGCCTGGCCCATTTCCAGCGATCGCTGGCGATAACTGCCCGTCTCACATGGACACGCAGAAGGGTCACAAGCTCAGACCCCAGGTCATTGTGGACAACATGAGCAAAGGCTCTGCCTCCAACCTGCTGGGCGAGGTGGGCCACTGACCACGGCCACACCACAGGCCCTGGACAGACTCAGGTCCCTGGGAGCTCAGGCCTGGGTTCGAATTCAGCCTCAGGCATGAACTAGCTGTGTAGTCCTGGACGACTCACCAGGTGATCTATCTGGCCTCAATTTCCTCATCTACAAAATGGGACTGTAATCCTCTTTCAGGAGCCCTGGTGGCACAGTGGTTAAGAGCTCAGCTGCTAACACAGAGATTGGCAGTTCAAACCCCCCAGCTGCTCCGAAGAAGAAAGCTGTGGTAGTCTGCTTCAGTAGAGATTTACGGCCTTGGAAACCCTATGGGTCAGTTCTACTGTCTTATGGGATCGCTGTGAGTCAGGTGAGTTAACTGCAAGGGGTATAGCCCCCTTTCATGGGTTGTGGTGGGGGCAACTCACCTAATTCACCTAAACAGCTTATCATCTCTTAGGGTTGGGTAGCTGACAGCTACTGAGAACCCCTGGGTGGTGCAAGGGTTTTGCAAAGTGCTTGGCTGCTAACCATAAGGTTGGAAGTTCAAGTCCACCAAAAGGTGCCTCAGAAGAAAGGCCTAGTGATCTAATTCCAAAAAATCAGCCACTGAAAACCCTTGGGGTACAATTCTACTCCGACACACATGGGGTCGCCAGGAGTCAGGAAATAGTTTGACGGCAACTGGTGTTCCATCATCAATGGGCGTAACCTTACTGCGCCCATCGTGTGGTACTTTAGGCCCGGGGGTATCAACCCTGTCTGCTCCTCTGGAGAATCACTGTGGGAACTTTTTAAAAACACTGATGGCCTGGCCCAGTGGTGGGCTGGGAAATGTTTAATCATCGGCTCTCTGGGGCCTCATCGGTAGTGTCTGCCGATTCCCATGGTGTCAACACTGCTGTCTTGCCAGATGTCAAGCTGCTGAGCATGGTGGGCTCCAGCTGAACGTTGTCCTGGCCCTACCCCAGAGCAACTGGATCGATATCTTTGGGGAGGGGCCCGGAAGCCTGTACTTTTTGAAGCGCCCCCAGAAGTTTCTAGCCAGCAACCAGGGTTGACAAGCACAGCCTAAGACTAAAAGCAGAGAAAGGGTAAGTGGTGAAACCCAGAGAGCTTTGAGAGTGACTTCAAGACAAAACGAGGCAGCTCTTCTCCCTTATCACAGCAGGAACATTAGACTAAGCAATTCTGTCCGGTCCATAGAGGATACATCCCAGACAGACATAGCCCAGGAGCCACGTGGCTGGGAGCCCGTCTGTGTCCTGGGGATCATGCACCCTGTGAGCCAAAAGAAAGTGGGACGGGGGCTGGGAGCCATCAAGAGCTCAGCAAGGGGCACGCATGGGGCGCACAAGGGGCAGGGGTGGGTGTGGAAGGAATCTCCGTGATCTTTCATCTCCTCTCAGCTCCTGGGAGATACACCCCATCTCCACTTCCTGTCTGGGGGGTGGGACAAAGAAATAGGGAGAGAATCAGTCTAGTCTGGCCAGGAGAGATTGACCAGCGTGTTCAGCATGAACGGCTCAGTCCCAGGCTGGGTAGGGCAGCCAAGGTGCAGGTGCTGGGCAGACGTGGCCATGCTCTGCCACGAAGGGAAGACGCCCAGACCACCTGGTGGCCCAAAGACCCTTCCCAGAGGTGTCCGTTTTTTTTTTAAATTCCATTTGAAACCTGAGCAACCCATCATTCAAAATGATACGGGGGTGAGGGCAGGTGAGGAGGGTGGTCCCTACTAAGCAGAGGGACAGATGAAGTCCCTGGGGTCAGGGGACCCTGTCTGGCACAGGGGTGGACATGCCTTAGGAAGGCCTTGGGGAGGTGACCGCTGAACTGCAGCTGCTGGACTCCTGAGCCACAAGTGGAGAGCCGCTGGCAGAAGGACTCTGCAGACACCATCCCACCGTCCCGCCCATCACAGCTTCTGCCTATCTCTGACCAATTTATGGGGAAGGCTGTACTGAACGGGAGGGAAGGAGAAGGGGCATCCCCACTTCTGTTCACAGAGGTGAGAGGGAAGGGTCTTTTGTGACGGAGTTCCTGGGTGATGTAAACTATTAGTGCAGTTGGCTGCTAACCAAAATGTTGGAGGTTCAAATCCACCTAGAGGCACCTTGGAAGAAAGGCCTGGCAATCTACTTCTGAAAAATCAACCATTGAAAATCCTGTGGAGCACAGTCCTACTCTGACACACACGGGGTCGCCGGGAGTCAGAGTCCACTCAACAGCAGCTGGTTGGGTTTTGTTTGCCCTAGAAAGAGCTGCCCACGGGAACCTGTGAGCCTCAGGAAGATGGCCCCTCAGTGGAGGCAACGACCCCAACTCTGCACCTGTGGAAACGCCCTGGGCCACCCTGTGACCTTTCTGGCACATTCCACCCTCATGTCCACCCTGTGAGGGGAGCACCAACGGCCTGTTGGCAGAGGGTGACTCTGAGACCCAGACGTGTCATGCCAAGGGGCCTGCCCAAAATTGAAGAGCTGGGTTCACATCCAGGCCCCACGCCGAACCCGAGGCCTTCATCCACCAGCTCCTCCAAGGCCTTGGTCAACAGCTCGAGGCTGGCCTCGGGCCCAGAGAGACACGTTCACTTTGCAGGTCTGTCTGCACATCTTTAAGGGGAAGATGGCAGGAGCCGGTACTTACACGGGGCCTGACATATGGTGAGTAATTCATGTTTGCCCTTGTCACAGGGCTGCAAAAACAATGCCAGCTGGTGCAGAAGAAGCACCATTTGCGTATGTGTACGTATTTCAGTGATGGTCCCTTTACTTGAAAATAAAAAAATTTCTGCAATAGGCCAAACAATAAAGAAATGGTTGCATAAGCGTAACACAGGAAGGGAGTCCCTAGCTGGTATTAAGGGTTAAAGAGCTCAGCTGCTAATTGAAAGATTGGAGGTTCAAGTCCACCCGGGAGCCTAGAATGATCTACTCCCCAAACAATCACAGTTCTGCTCTGACACACACGAAGTGCCATGTGTTGGATGAGTCTACTCAATGGCTCTTGCAAAGACTACGGCCAAGAATACGTTACAGGGCAGTTCCACGGTCACATGGGTCATTATTGGTCAGAATCGACTAACAACAACAACACACTCATTAAAGTCACCCCAACGGAGAAAGAAAACATGGATATGTAATCACAAATAAAAAGTTTATCACAGCGGGTGTATGTGTAGCTTTTTTAAAATGCATAAGATCAAATGTTTATCTTAACTGATAAGGCAATGAAGATATCAGGCTTCAAAAGTTTCTTTTAAATAAGAAAAGAAGGGTTAGTGACCAACTAAATTTCTTGCCAACTCTGTGGGATGGCTCTTCAAGTGAATCTCCTTCATGAAATTCGTACTTTAACACAATCAGAGGTATAAGCCATGATACTATTCATTCTGTCCTTCTGGCACCCTTATCACCACATCCTCTGAAAGTAGGTCTGTGAATTATCAGAGAAGGAAGTCATTGGTTTCAACGAGCAATGAATAATTTAAAGTCCAAACCAAAACCCAAAACTAGTCTGTTCAAGGTTTCCATTTTATGTGGCAGCTACTCCAAGCTGGACAATGAACTGAGGAATACAAAGAACGGATGCCTTTGAGTTACGGTGCTGGCAAAGAATACTGAATATACCATGGACTGCCAGAAGAATGAACAAGTCTGTCTTGGAAGAAAACCAAGGGGCATCTGATGACCACTTTCCCAAACACGTCAGCCCTTCCTTCCTCCTATCAATTCTGAACTTCCACAATGCCAAGTTCTCTGGTGGGCGCTGCTAGCCCGAGTTCGGAGTAGAATTTGTCCTGTCAACTCATGTATCTACTCACTCACTCAATCAGCAAATTCTTATGTATTGAGTATTGACAATGCCCAGCACTCTGGCAAGCATGGGGACAGAGGGAACCAGTCACAATCTCTGCCATCATGGCGGTGACTTCCTGGGAGAGGATGCAAAGAGCAAGCGAAAGAAGCAAACAAACGAAGTTTGCATAATACTAAGCCTAAGAAGGAAATAAGAACATTGAACATAGCATGGACTGCCAGAAGAATGAACAAATCTGTCTCGAAGAAGTACAGCCAGGACACTCCTAAGAAGCAAGGATGGTGAAAGACTTCATCTCACGTACTTTGGACATGTTATCAAGAGGGACCAGTCCTCAGAGAAGGACATTAGGCTTGGTAAAGAAGAGGGTCCATGAAAAAGAGGAAGACCCTCAACGAGATGGATTGGCACAGTGGCTGCAACAATTGGTTCAAACATAGCAACGATTGTGAGGATGGCGCAGGACTGGGCCGGGTTGTGCTCTCTTGTACGCGTGGTGGCGATGAATCAGAACAGGCCTGATGGCACCTAACAACAAAACTGACAGCGTAGACGCTAAGTCGTATCTGCCTCAAGGACGGAGGTGATTTATTCACCACCAGTAAAGGAGATAGAAAGAAGTCCTGGTGGTGTAATGGTGTTAACTGAAAGATTGAGAGTTCGAACCCACCCAGGGCTCCAAGGGAGAAAAGAACTGGAAATCTGCTTCCGCAAAGATTACAGCCCCGAAAACCCTATGGGGCAGTTGTACGCTGTCACATGGGGCCATCATCATGAGTTGGAACCAACTAGACCACATCTAACAACAACAACAAAGCAGATAAAAAAAGCTCAAGCGCACTTTTAGGGAGAAAATACTTCTTTACATTTTCTTTTTAAGTGACCACATTTGACTTAAAAGCCAGACTTGTGTTCAGTCAGTCTCTCTGTGCCCATAAACAAAACTTCATAAGGAAGCCAACCACCT